ATGACGATTTAAAAAAAAAATGCAATAATTAATGCTACTAATTTGCGATTAGTGACATATCGATACGATATCGTTGCATAAAAGTTAATAGATTTTAACATTTTAACAAGCAAATGATGTTATTCATAAAGGCGCTTTCGATAAAGACCGTTTGCAATCGTGTTCTATCTATAATAATAATAATCTATTTAATTTCTATACACGAATAGTAAAACCGTTTTAACGAAAATCTTATCTATTATCATTTCATTACTTGACTCTTGAATAACATGTAGTTTTACGTACTAACATTTTCATGCGAGAAAGAATCGTTGCAAGAGCGAAGTATAGATTGAAATAATAATTTGACAAAATTATTACGATATCAATCATTACACGGCGAGCACTATATACTGCAATAGCAGCAATATGACAGATATCGTACATCACAGCTGTAGTCGAAATTTCAGTGGTGTCAAATCAAATGATAAAGGACTTTGGACATTGCGGCACTGATGAATTTTATGCGAAAACTTACAGATGAACAGTGCACTACCTATTTCTAGACCAATGCGTTCTTACAGGCGGTTTCTTTTGAAACACGGCTCGAGTGAGTGGAATACGAATTAAACTTTTGTGTACCGGCAAAAATCAACGGTCGCTATGGTGTTGGTTTCATGAATCTATATGAGCAAAAATCGGTGAAAACGGTAATCGATCGGTTGCGCGCGACGAGGGTAAAAACCTGTTTCTCGCGAGAGAAGTGTTTGGAAAAACGGCGACGGTTTTCATTCCGGCGAAGTAGCCGTTACCGTGCGGACACCTGTCACCAGTTCGCGTCATTATCACGTGCACTCCGGCGCACGGACGAGTGGTGTCTCTGGAGAGCGCCGGTCGGACGTCGTGTTTACACGCACGGCTGATACGCGTTGGAAAACGGTCGCGGGGAAAGTGATGAAGTGCTCCCGGGGGAACGATTGCGAACATTCTTCTTGCCGCCGCGGTGCGTATTTTTTTCTTCTTTTTTCGCTGCGCGTTGTTTTGCAGGCAACACCTATACGTTATTGTACAACGTACACAGACTGCAGACTGACGGCCGCGGTCAATGGAGCTCGTGACCACTCGGTTTTTTCGTTTTCGGTCTGTCAATATGATGTTGCTGCGTACAATGTAATGGGTAAGTGGAAGAAAATAATAATAATATAAATAACAATTGTACATTATTATTCGTATTATTCGCGCGAGAACCGAAATGATCGATACAATCGCGTATTCACGCGCCTTGTATTATACACACGTACGCGTACATCCTTGTATTTTACAGACCAACGTGTTCGCAAATCCTTACAATACGTATCATCATCATCATCATCATCATCATCGTTTAGTCAAAAAACCAACGCGTGAAGAACGATTGACGTCCGCAGTGTATCCCACGAGTCCGTTAAATAACAATTTTGTGTACAATATGTGACCGCGAGCTTACGAATGGATCGTTATGTGTCCTTTGAACCGCAGCGTTCGCAATAACAACCCCGTCACCGTTATATATTCGTATATGTATGTTAACGATTTCGATTATTCCACGCATTTTCAAATATTTATATATAACAAATTTATTCGCGTCAGATATCCTTAAAATAATTACAATTGAGTACCGTAAAATTTTTCCATTTTTCATTTCAACTCATATTTCGTTTATACGGTCAAACGAATTCTAGCACCACACCACGCGATTAATAAAAAATTAAAAAATATTATTACAATATAAGTATTATACTGTTATCGAGTGTGTAATGCAATACGTAATTTGCAATGTTACCGAAGAATCAAGTGCTAAAAGTCTATGGCATACACGTGGGGGGAGGTTTAGGGTTGTTCAAACCCCTTCCCACCATTGTTTTCTGTTCATAAGTTGTATGAAAACGGTTAAGATTTAAAAATTCTAAATAATTTATTTTTACAATGTATTTATAAAAAGAGGATTTTTTTTTTTTTAAAAAAATTAAAGATAAAATAATTGCTGTGACAAAAGTTGTTATAAATATTTCTAGAAGGTATTAATTCGGTACCGCAACTACCGGGTGTGTAAGGTGTGCATTGTACATCGGTCCCCAAACCGTTGTAGGCCCCACACGATGTATTATTATAGACATTTTAACTGAAGTAAATTGACAAATGCAAAAAATAGATTTAACATATTATTAAATATTTATTATCAAATAACATACCTAACTACTAACTAGTTCCCAATGTCCAAAAGCAATACCGTTGATTATAAATACTATTATATTATTAAAGTATTTATAATCCTACGGTAATATTAATTCTTAGAACAGAAATAGCAGAAAATAATGCAGGTCATTTAAAATTAAAGATCCACTAGAATACCTTCCATAGTATGAACACCAGTTGACATATTTTATTTATAGTTGGTAAATACTTTTTTGAAAAAATATTTAGGCCCTAAGTTCAGATTTGCATACCAGCCCCATAGTGTGTAGTTGCGGCACTGTTCTAAATGTTCCATTAATAAACTGTTGCAAGCAACAAAAGATTCACATTGTTTCGGGTTTTGATTGGAAGCAAAACATGTTATCACAAAACAATATAAAAGCAATATAATTAATTAGTAAACAGGCAACATGTTTATCAGCGTGGACTCGGTTTAGTCGCGTATTTCAAGTCACGTGTCGCGTGGTTTATCAACTGCTTATTTTATTATATATATAAATTTTTTATTTAATTGAATTCTCATTAATATGTTTAATGATATACAAATAATACTACATGGTAAACGCAGGGCCGGCTCAAGGTATAAGCGAGCTAGGCATCTGCCTAAAGCGGCTCTTTAGCAGGGGTGGCATTTTCAAAATTGACTCATACATTTTTTTTTAGTTCTATCGGTGTTTTACAAGAAAAATATTTAGATTAATTCATTCGTGAAAAACCATTTATCTAAATAATAAAATAATATCGTCTAAAGTTATTATATTAGTTTATATTACGGTCTACGATGGACGTTTTCAACTATTCCATAAAATATAAATAACCAAGCAATCACTTCCGCGATTTTCAACAGTCGCGATAGTGATGGGTTTTGAGTAATAACTATAGAAATCATTTTTAAGTTTTTTTACATATAATTTTAATATAATTTTCTATACATAAAATAAAAATTAAAATTTTTTTTTTATGTAGATATGTCACATAATTAGAGCTCAATTTTTTTTTTTAGAAGCAGCAAAGTTAGATTTTGTCTAGTGCACCATTTTTGTTCGGGCCGGCCCTGGGTACCTACACGTAGCAGACATACGCACACGCTTAAGTTGCAGTCGCGTCTGCATGCAGTATTGTAGTATTACACGGCATACGTACGTATAATCGGACACATCAATTTGGTGACGATCGTAATATTTTACACGGTTTAGACTCGGACCATTATTGTGGTGGTCGTGTCGTACAATATAGAATTAGTTTTCAATAACATAATTATCGTTATTGTACGTACGGTGCATGCGCATGCCTACGGGTAAGTAATAAATATTTCTGTGCGCACGAAATAATATGTATTGCGACCGAGTTCGTTACGATACAGGTTGAAAGCCACCAATGCCATCATCATATCAATATCACCAAGTAATTCTCCAACGTGTTCTGTTACCGAAATGTTTAAAAAAAAAAATTATATTTCAAGTACCTCACAGTTCACCGGAAATTGATTTAAAGTAATAGAAATTAATTTTACAATTCATCAATAGAGTTAGGTACGCCACGTTTTGTTAATTCGATTTGATTTTTATCAATATCGTTACTGTTTTTTACGATTAAAAGTAAAACGTTATTACGTAGAAAATGAATAAGTATTCATATCGGCACATCATAAAAGTACACGTAATATTTAGAAAACATGTCGATGGCTATATAAATCGTGCAAGTCATTTATAATTTATAATTTAATTAGATATTTTTATTTTATCACCTATTCTAATACATGTAAATAGCTATTAGTGTTGATTGATAGTAATGAGTTATAATTTAACAACAATTAACATCAACAGGTCGCGATAAAATGATCAAATTCATAATAACCGCTATAAAACAAAACGATTTCCCAAAAACACCCAATCAGCGTACATGTACTGAACAACGCACGCACTATTGTAAGTTTCAAATACGTGCGTTTTTGTCGTCGAGTGTCACTAAAGATAGGATACAGTTATTTATTTTAACGCGCATTAAATATACGTGAAACAATCCACTGTATACTATAGTGTATTACGAACACGTGGAGATTTTTTGAGCACGCGCGTATTCTGCTTTGAGAAAGTTTCTTGTTCTTGAGTTATGTTTTATTTATTTATTTATTATTAATACGGACAAAAGTCCAATTTACAATATATTTGTATAGATAACAATCGTTTTTTTTCTTTTAATTTCGATTTATGGAAAACGTATTTTCCATTATATATAGTCTTTCTGTACTTCTTAAATACTATCCTGTGCACCGTCAACTTTTGCTTTTCAAACGGGAACATCATTTTTTTTTTTTTTTTTCTTAGGGGATTCTCGATGTAACGCAGTCAAAATTAGGCGGTACATTTAAGCTTATCAATTATCCGAAAAAGGCGCATAATCGAATAAAAATTCGAAAAAAAACGGGCGACGGCCAAAACCGGAAATCGCCAAAATCATGCGAACCACCCCGATCGCGTTACAATAACGAACAATGAAATGTGCGCGGATAACGACGGCCGATACTAGGGGACGGGGCGACAACGACGTTGCATTCGTCTGCACGCGTAAACATGCGCGCGTGCGTGAAAAGGATACGAAAAAAAGCGAAGGAAACGAATTTAGGAATATCACACGGACACGCCCAGTGCCGACGGGGCGGACCAACGGGAACGCACGGTACGACCGGTTTCCGCGTCCGTCGGACGGCGGGCGGGGTCGGTGCGCGCTCGGCCGGCCGTCTCCGCGCGGGGCGACGAGAGGAGGGTGTGGGAGAGCGATACCGCGATCCGATCGCCGTCGTCCGGTGACGGTAGTGTACGTTTTGCGGTCACCACGCGTGTTCCAAACCAGTGCAGTTACGTGTCGACGTCGCGTTCGTGCAGTGCTGTCCAGTTCAGACGAGCAGGAAATAAAAACGCGCAGCGCTCAGTTGTGTTCAGTAGTTTTTTTTTTTTTTATTTTTCTTCGACCTTTTTTTCGATTTTTAAATCGCGCGTTTCTTCTCTTTTCCTCCGCCGCATTGTTAATCGCTTGGGCGGCTATCGTGCACAGGCACACGCGCGCCGAGAGACAAACGTCCGAAAACACCTTACGCCATGGCAGTCTCCACGTTGAACATGACTCCTTACTTCACCGGATACCCGTTCCAAGGTATTTATACATTTTTTTTTTTTTTTTTGTTTTTTAATCACGTCCCCTGCTTGGATTTTCGTGTGGATATTTACGCGCGCGCGCCGATTCGACGTGCGTACCGTCCCCGTACACAGTCCGAGTGCACACCGCTGCAACGACTTCCTCGCGTTCGCATTGTATGCAATAAACACTAACAACAATAATTATAATAACACTGACCCGTTCCTCGTCTTTTTTGCGTGTGCCTTAGGCCAGGGCCGCATGAACCAGCTCGGCGGCGTGTTCATCAACGGACGCCCGTTGCCCAACCACATCCGTCTGAAGATCGTGGAAATGGCCGCGGCCGGGGTGCGCCCTTGCGTCATATCCCGTCAGCTCCGGGTGTCTCACGGCTGCGTGTCCAAGATCCTCAACCGGTACCAGGAGACCGGAAGCATCCGGCCAGGCGTGATTGGTGGTAGCAAGCCCAGAGTGGCCACGCCGGACGTGGAGAGACGCATCGAAGAATACAAAAAGGCCAACCCGGCCATGTTCAGCTGGGAAATCCGCGACAAGCTGGTCAAGGTGCGTTTACATTAATATTTACTATAATATGCTCGTACGTGTAATATATGTGTTCGAAATATCGACAAAAACATCGTTCTTTGATTTCCAAAACGACCCCGCATTGCATTTAAAGTATTATCCATCGTGTTATTCCTCGAATTTTTTGAATTATACGCGAAACTTGCGATCTCTATACCCATAACTATTTTCAATATTACTCTACAGATAGTTATGTTAGTCGTTGAAGTCTCCGTCAACAAATTAGACTGTTTATAATCTATTTGCACGTTATTTTATTAATACATAATATAATATTATCTGTATGGAATTCAAATTATTATAAAAGTAATGTTCAAATTTAAATTAAAATAATACAAACTTTAAAGTTCGTTTGATATCAATCCGTTAATTTACAAATACTTGGTGCCTTGGTCATAACGACAATTATTAAACGTGTACCGAACTTGTATACATCTGTGTCATTACATATTACATGTAATATGGTTGAATGTCCAGCAATCATGTCATTACATCAATAATATATATTTAATTATTACGGCGTTTAAGTATTTAAATGATAAAAAAATAGCAAGTATGCAAAGTAAAATTTAATGATAAGCGATAGTCCAATATTTCAACTACCTTTTTATAGATGAAATATTTATTTTAAATGACTTGAAAATTGTTAAATAGAACATTCTTATACATAAATGACACAATAGCCCGACTATTATATGAATTCTTTCGTAAACCCATTAAAGTCTATTCATAACTTGAATATAATAGGATCAACTTTAACTAGCTTTCACTCGGCATTGTAAATTGTACTTAAAAAATGCATACTGTTATTAATATCTTTAATAACTCTTCTTATAAGTAGATTGCAAGGCCTCTAAAAAGGTAACCAAATAGTATGTGTAAAGTATTTTCGGTACATTGAACATAAACTATTTATGTTTTTAAGATTCATTTTTACTAACCAATATATATATATATATATATAAAGAGTTTATTAAATCTTCAGAAATTACACTTTATAGTTTCATAATGTTTTATTTGAAACTTATTATAATACGCCAAATACATTGTAGTTAATAAAATTACTAGTTTTTAGGCGTACTAAAAATGTATATTTTTGTGATTATCCCAGCAGGATGGTATTTGCGATAAAAACTCAGCTCCATCCATCAGTTCCATCAGTCGATTATTGCGCGGCGGTAGAAGGGACGAGCTGAAAAACCATTCTATTGACGGGATCTTGGGTAAGTTCCAAACAATATATTATGTAATATTCTATGCGCGTACATTTTTTGTACGAAATATATATACGAGTATTATAACCCTGTGAATACAAAACAAACGCGCCGAGTACCTGTGAATATGACGAATGTAAATAACGGGTCTTAACGGGAAAAAACTCCCGTAATGTCCACCCCCGCCGATTATGTTATATCTTAACTCTTAACTTGCCTTGTACGTGTTATATACGATTATACTTAGGCTACTTGGTGGCTACCGATGAGAGTACCGTTAGCCGAAAGGATAAAGCATTGTCGATGGTCGACCACAAAAAAAAAAAAAAAGGAGAGAAAAAAGGGGACGAAGGAACGGTAGTATGTATAGCGTTTATTATATATATACATATATATTGGTGCATATTATGTAGAAAGACGTAATATATGAATAGAAAGGCGTGTCCGTGTGAAGTGTGTGAGAACCGCGCGGCGGCGACCACCAAGGGTTTGCTACCACAGGGGTTTTGGTTAACACTTTTTCTACAAAAAAAAGAAAGAAAAAAAAATCCACAACCGGACAATTTATCACCTCGACGATCATGGGGTGGTCGAACACGACCGTTTACGACCATACAAGACACCGGCCGCCTCCGCTACTATATACGAATTTATGTACATATATATATTTATATGTGTGCATATGTATATAAATGTGCATGTATATTTATACGTATGTAATTATATTATTCAGATGTTTTCGTATGTTCGGTGTGTATTTGAGTTTTTTCTCAAATACGGTGTTAATATATTATTATGTTATACATCGAATTCGTCTAATAACAATAATAATAATAATAATACACCGACTGCAGTTGTATAATTATGTAATGAGAATCGAACGACTCAAGTTTTTCGGTAAACGTGACGTTCGTAATTTTTGTTTTTTATACGGACATCGGCAGCTTCAGAAGAACCCGTCTCCACGGGGTGTCCCTAATGTAAAAGGCTTGCCGACACGTAAAACCCGTTTAATTCGCCGTAATTTAAAAATGGATTTTTCTTCTTCAAAGCTGCTGGCCCGCACACCTTATTTTTTTCTTCCTAATTCTTTTTTTCCTCTCCCATCGGATTTAATGTCAACTCGCCAGCACACGAGTTATTAGCCCAGTTTAATCGCTACCCACCACCGCCACCGCCAAATACGTTTGTATTAAATAGAAATAATATATACGCACAGTGCCAAATGGATTGCGCCGCTGCATAGTACGTGTTTTTTTTGTTTGTAATTCAAATGCGCACGCGATACAATACTGTTATTTATTTTCTCTGGGACATAAGGTCCGAGCGATATAAAAAAAAATATTTTACTTTTACCGCACTACGAACAAACGGCGTGTCCTACGCTTCAGTGTTTTATACTGAAAAATCTTTTCGTTATTTACATAAGGGAAAAGAAAATCCGTAAGATTATGCGAATATCATCTTATGCACTCCTATTATAGTCGTAAATAAATAAATACGCACTTCTATACAAACGCACAAATATACCGTAAATAGGATATTACTTTTTTTTTATATTCGTACAACGATCTTATTATTGAATCACGATTTCTAATTTCAATTTATTTTGCGTATCGTAAAAAATTGTTATCGAACTTGATCCGCGTTATACTTTAGATTATAATCATTTTATATTAGACCCATGACTTTGAAACTGTTCTGAAAAAAAAAATAGAATTTTTCTTTCTACAAAACGTGTCAACAAATCACTATTGCCGCCTGAATTTACATCGATTATAATTTACGATGCTGATGGTAATCATATCACTGTAGTTATAAAACAGTCGAGATCGATTTATTAGTGATATCACTGAGCTATATGTATATATGCTGAACAATCATCTTAAACCGATCTTAAGACGATCGTAATTGCAGCAGATTGAATAAATTAATAACATTTATATAACGGAAACGTTTTGAACGCGATTTAAAGTATAAATTAAATTAAAAACTTACTGAATCGTCTTTTTATTGTAGCGATATAATATTATGCGTAATGAATTAAATGTTCGGACGACACAATATTAATACGTATATAAAGTGGTTATGTGATTTTGTCAAGTCGATTAGGTCGTAATGTTATATGGTACTCTGCTGTCGGTATTGCAGCACGCGGTAGTAGGTAGGATATTCTACAAGTTCGAGTAGGTTAGCACGATTATCACTATATCATTTTCATTAACATTTAAATCATAATATAATCAATTATATTTTCCTTTGGGTCCGATCTCGTGAATTGCGAAAACTATACCGGATTTCTACAATATTTAGTTCGCAGAGGTAAATATAAATGTAAATTAACGATTTTTTCTTATTTCATTAACAGTCTGCTGCCAGTCAGTAATACGTTATTAGTCCGTTCAACTATTACAATTAAACGTGGTAGTTATAAGTGTATACCTTTGTTAGAGATTTATGTACTTATATATTTATTTATTTCGTCTTAAGTGATAATGTTTGTCCGCTGTAATAATAAAAAACTTGATTATAAAATAACATAATCATTTGTGATACTATGGAAAAAGTGATACCATTCAAGTGCTACAGAAGTATAACTATGTTTCGATCATCATTGTGGTTTAAAGTACTATGAACGATGGATACATATTATAAATCGAGGCTCATGGTTACTTATTAACAGAAATTTATTCGGATGAATTAATTCATAAATAATGTATTTACGTTGGGAAAAAATCGCTTTGGTATTGGGTTTGCTAACAACTCGTCAAGACTTTAAATTCGACGTACAATCACCAGACGACGTCATAACATTAGAATATCGCAAGCCGATGATATTGTCGTGCCGAGGTTTGCTTTTAATACCGTCACCGGTCGTTGTCGCGCGCGATATAGTTATTTAAATTATCCGTACACGTAGATCCGTATCAATAAATAATTTGCTCGCTTGTGCGTTATGAATATTTATAATTAACTAATCGCACACACATATCGACGACCTTATCTCGGCCGCGCGTGGGCGACGACGTGTACGAGTTCTCGGAATAAAAGTACAATATTGTTTTCTCCGCTCGCTGTTTTGACCCGTCGGAGTTGCCCACGTCGCTTCGGTATATTATTGTGACTAACTGTTTTTGGAGCGGTGCCGCACGCGCAAGTCGCAATCGATTCGCGATTTGAAAATGTAAATTAAAATAAAAATAAAACAACAGAAACGCTTAAATTTCTCGCGTTTAGGAGATGGTACTCGTATACTTCTATAGTCCACGTCACACGACGTCCTATATCGTCCGATAACAATACGTTATAATTAAGGCCCGGATGTTGATGACTTTTGCATATTATTTTTTTTCGGAACGTCATAGGCGGTACTTATCTAGTTTAAAATGTGTTTCAACAACCGACGAATCAACATGACTGATTTCTATTTTACATTTTTTTTGAATTTCTTTGTTTTTCGTTTTATGTAATGTTTTCTGACTTTTCAAGTAATTTTTTTTTTATTTAAAACCAGTTTCGATAGTCATACTTAAGTCAAAATACGTATACTCATAAATCGTAATATTATTGATTTAAAAATCAACGAATCATTTTGCGATAGTTTTTTTTTTAAGTGTCCGTGTCATTAGCATACCGTTTTTTAGGAAATTTTTCTAAAAATCTTTTTAGAACATGAAAATCCTGGCCCTTGCAAATTATAATAGTTTAAAACACGCGTGCACGGTTTGCACGCACGCATTTAGTATCCGAGCTGATCGGCGTACTGTCTCGTAGACATGCGTAGGATAAACGCGCATTGTACGTAAACGATAGGTTTCGGGCCGCCCAACACTAGGCGGTATCGTCTCTAATAACAGATCCGGTGGTCGAGTGTTTTTCCCTTTTTCTTTTACTAGTGCTCATAATATTTTAACGTCGGGTACGTGCATGCGTTTGCGCGCATATCCGACATCGGTTATTACGTAAATCGTTTCTGTAGATAAGAGCTGCGGACGGACGGGAAACACGCGGAACCGGACTCTCGCGCGGCGTCGGGCGCAATCGCTCGGGAACGGGCGTAGGATACGTTATTTTTACTTTAAACGTTATTTTTTTATTTGTTATATTTACCAAGAGTGTACCGCACTGAACGCGTACACGAACGTATTGGGACCGTTTCGCGCCCGAAGCGCGTTCAGACGATGTTAAACGATTTCCATCGGGAGATCGCGCGCGCTAGCGACCGTTTGAAATGCGTACATCGGTAACGATAATCACGATTATTATTATTGTTGTTACGATATGCACTGCTGGCGACGGCCGCGCGCGCGTGATTGAAAGCGCAGTATTTGTTAACGCTGACAAATAACGAGACGTGAAATCAATCAACGCGCATTTGCATACTATTACACTGCAGGATACACACAAACACACACAACAAACGTCTGTACCCGTCCGCGAGTCCAAGTCGTATATTATACGCGCGTGTAAACACACGAAAACATATACGTGTGTTTGTGTGTGTGTGTATAACCGTAAGAGTAAACCTATCGCACGCTACATATAGCGGTAGTGTATAGAGAGAGTACGGCGGGATCATATTATGTGGTCGTTTTAGGATTGATGGCGATATTTCGTGTATAATTTGTAAACCGTGTTCCGGTGTATAATACCTATATATCGTGTCCTGTCAGTGATCGCAGCTATACAGTCTCCGGAGATCGGTAACCGCGATGTTTTACGTGTACTATAACAAAATCGGTTACCGTTAAACACGATGCGCGCGTTATCCCAAAGCCCATGATCATGGCACCGCGTCTATCGCTTTGCTCCTGTCCGTTGTTTAGCCGCAGAACGAACACGTTCAGTTTGTTCTTCACGCATTTTTATTGCGTTTTAATTTATTCCACGTTCTGTTTTTCCGTCCAAAGGTCCGAGCAGCGCCGACGATTCGGACACGGAATCGGAACCGGGATTCCACCTGAAACGCAAACAGCGTCGGAGCAGAACCACGTTTACGGGCGAACAGCTGGAGGACTTGGAGCGAGCATTCCACAAGTCCCAGTACCCAGACGTGTACACCCGAGAAGAGTTGGCTCAAAAGTAAGCACATTATTGTAATTATATTATATAAGTAAGTGAACGCGCACGCGTAGTCTTATTAATATTTACTATGAAATGCATTGCTACGCACTCGATGTAAGTAGGTACATGACGTTATGATCGATAACTAAAATATCAATAAACGTTAGTTATTAATATTTATTAATATTTTGCAAACGAACTTTAAATGTACCGAACGCGGTGGTGGCACGTAACTCGAGTGAGCCGCCTATCGACGCGAGGTGAAAGCGAACTAGCTTCTATCCCATGGCCGGTCGAGTACGCGCGGTGAGGACGTTCGAGGGAAAAGTCACAAGGGTCACGGGCGTGAGTGCGAGGTCTTTCCAGGGTTTTCGTGAAAATTAAACAATTCCGCAGAAACGTGTACCTCTCGTAGTAGCTTGTTTTCATGATATTTTTCTCTTCTCTTGTGTTACCGATTTCCTACGGTCCGTCCAACTCATTATAATAAATTGTACACGTGCACACGCGGGACGAATAGGTCAGCTACGTATACGGTTATTGACTTTTACGTGCACTTACAATACGTTTCCATCGTCTTTGCCCCTCTACCGACTACCCGAGTGATGTGAACGGCCGTCTAAATCTTCAAAAGATACGTTACAAATTACAAGTTACAAGTATATGTCCTTTCTATCACACGCGTACACCGTGTGTCGTGGTTCGTACGTAAGGTACACGTACGTATATATGTAAATTCGCATGCACGACTATTTTAAATGTCCAACGCTTTGAAGATTGCAACGTAATGCAATACAAAATATTGGACGGGTATGTGATATAATTATTAATGTTTAATTTTTTTTATAAATGTCTATTAAACACGTCGCCGTAAAACGTGAATTAATCACCGTTAATCATTGATCGTGGTTCTGCAAATCGATATCATTATCATATACGTTGCTACTACTGAGTTGTAGCAAATTACATCGCAATAAGACGGTTTCGCGACAGGTATTTAAAATTATCATCGATAACGGCGTTCTCGATATAATGAGTTTCGAATTCAATATCCATTCAATCGAACGCGCAATAAAACCTAACGATTCGCCGATACGCGCGCGACGGTGATGCGGTTCGGTCGTGAAAGAAACACGCTTCGTGGTGTACATCATATCCGCGGTGCATTACGTGGAGTTTGAGTTGGGATTAAAAACGTATAATTATCTATTAGTACATCGTTGTTCGAAAGAAAGTCGGTCTATGATTAGGAGCTGGTTCCCGCAGCGTTTTAATTCCGATCGAGACGTATAGAAACGTTTGATCGGTTTTTCGCACGCGGTACATTCGACACCACATATTTATAGTTAAGCATTGATACGAAAATGTGTGGTACTGGTATAGTATAATAAATCGAATGCTTCTCGGGGTCGATTTAATAACATATTGTTATAGTGAAATTTTCCGCGATGAAAGGTGTGTGGGTTTTTTGCTTCCTAGTTCGGAGGGGAACGCTCACCAAAAAAAAAATAGCGAATTTAACACGAATAACGTAGAGGCTTTTGTGATCTTATTTCGATACGTGTCACGCTTTTCGAAAGTTTCTTTGGAAACAATCGGCTTTTTTAAACTTCTATGATGCGTCGTATTGTAGTCGTTACTCGTATACGTCAAAGACATCGAATAACCGTGTGTTGCGTTGATCTCATTCCAGGACGAAACTGACGGAAGCTCGCGTGCAAGTGTGGTTCAGCAACCGTCGGGCACGCCTCCGGAAGCAGATGGGCACGCACCAGCACATGAACGCAGCGGCCGCGGCTTTCAACCCGGCCGCCGTCGTCAGTCTGTCGGCCGGCTCCTTTCAGCCGGCTCAGAGTGGCCAGCACGGAAACCATGGCCAATACGGTGGCCACGAGCACCATACCGCAGCGGCCGCGTCCAACTTCAACTCGCCCCAAGGTAAGCCTACGCGATCCGTTTTCTCGTCAAAAAAAAAACCACCCCAACCCTGTGGCTCGTTGCACCCAGACCCGGCTCAAGCGGTAGGCGACATAGGCCCACGCCTAGGGGAGTATTTACAATTTTTATATTGTAAATAATTAAAAAAAAAAAATATTAAGATTTCTATAGGACTTACTACTACTACTCCAACTACTACTATAGTACTTACTTATTTCAAATTATATGTGTTAAAAAATAAGACTATGATTTGTTTTATTTTATTTAAATGGTACACTTAACTACAAATCAATTGTTAACTTTACATAAATAAATATAATCAATTCGGAATTAAGTATATTTTAGTATTGCTTATGTAAAAAAAAAAAAATATATATTTGATTTAATTGTCACAAATAAGGGGTGGCAAAACTTAATTTTGCCTAGGTGTGATTAAACATTTGTGCCGGGCCTGGTTGTATTGAAGTGTGTTGGAATACTACAAGGGAGGAGTGAGACAAAAAGTCAAATTTTAAATATCAATTCGGAGCGTCCAGTTATGTTGTACTTTTTCTGTGACCTCCGTCAGATGGAAATTCTCACCGCCCATGGTGTGCGACATTTTGTGTGATCTGATTTTGGGTCGCGAACAATTTAAAGCTTGACGTTGCCAAACGGATCAGTGGTATAAAATCGGGAGATGGCGTTCAGTATAATACTATCAAAACATTTCAATCGTGATGATAATGTTTCTTAATATTATCCTATAGCGATTGTTTTTTTTTCTTTTTTTAATCGATTCTTATAACGTTTTCAAACCATAATATTACTTATTTCTGAACGGAAATTAATTTAACACAATAAATACAACGGCGCAGGTACAAGAAAACATGTAACCCTTTTCCCACCCCCCTCCCCTCGACGACCTAATGAACGCCCATGTGCACACACGCGCACTTGTACACAAATATATGTATGTACATATAATACTGTAGACACCGAGCACACGTATTCACATATGTGTATAATATACGCGAGCGGCTATCACGGAAATTATACGGTACGCGACGATTAATACACACACCGGTAATGTTTTAATGGATACTCTTTGAAGTTTGACCGTAATTTCGAGACGTGTACCGCCGCGCGGCGTCGCAGTGTAATAACCGTGTACGGGCGAACAAGACGGCGACGGAGAGGAGTGCGCGTACGAGAGAGAAATACTGTACAGTACTATGTGCATGTTCTCGTACAGAACGCGAACGGGGCCGGAAATTATACAAACCGTCCGGGCACGTACTCGGGCAATAATATTCGTGCGCGCGATTTTTTTTTCCCTCGTGATTCCACACAACGGAACGGAACGTTTTCCATCTCGACGACGTTTAGTGTATTGTGTAGTACACACTGTGCGAGTATTACGATGGAAATATTGTTTATCTATCGCGCGCGTGATCATTATCAATCGCAAACACTCGTGGTTACGATGGTATAATGCGTCGTGTACCGCGGAGTGATTGCAATGATATTGATCTACGTGGATCGTATGGAAATAAAGGAGTGTCGCACAGGGCGCAAGGGTCTCGAGGGTCGCTCCAGATGCCTATTTTACCCGTCACCCCGCCGGAAGTCTATGTCCGACCGTTCCCGTTGACCGTAAATCCCTCCCCGTTTTGCATATTTTTCACACTTTTGATTTTCATTCGTATATTTTATTACATTTGTTTCCCCTTTTCTCCCTTCTAGGAACTTCCCACGGCACGTGGCATGCCACCGGAGGGTACTACCCCACGACGACTTGCAATTATGGAGCCGGTGGCAGTGGCATTAGTGGCGGAACGTCTGTCGACGCCATGTACCACCATCACCACTCGCACCACCAGACCAACGTTGCTGCTTCATATTCGCCGCAAGAATCCGCCGCCGCAGCCGCTGTCAACGACCATCATTCGCTGGGATGGAACAAGGCCCACAAAGACGTCACCACCGCTGCCACCTGGAACCCGGATAATTACTCGTGAGTATTTACTTAATACTACATATCGTACAGTATAATTTTTAAGTAAATGCCGACTCGTTAGTAGGCTTTTTTAAGTAATCCGTCCGACGTATGCATCAGCTGGTACAGATGTATATATCACACTACGCCTTATACCGAAGAACCTTAAGTGTGGGGGAAGCTTAGAGATGACGAAACTCTCACTGGTTTTATTATCTGTTTATTATTTTTACGAGTATTCCTTTATTTTTTTTTTTTTCTGTTTGATTTCAACGTTAGCTCGTACTTTTAAATTATGACGCGAAAAGTGTTTTAGAAATCATCGACAAATTGCATGTAACAAAAGTACATAAACTTAAAAATTATTATTTTTTATAGAATATTAAAGGATTAACCAGATTAACTATGTAGACTCAACATTATTCACTTGACTCACAATTATTTTTGGATCAATTTCGACCAATGATTAGATGATGGAACTATTTTCTTGCATTAGTATATAATATATAACTATATTATAGTCAAAGATGGACAAGTTAATGAAAATAATTAACTTGACTTAAGTTAAGTTAAGAGGACACAGGATCGATAAGTTAAAAGTTAATAAGGAAAAAAATATTAGCTTACCTCTATTTAATCTATTTTTTTAATTAAAATGTAGTTCATATAAAAAGTGACTTCGTTCTTTTGAAAGATCTAATTTCTTAAATTATAATAAACAATTTTATTGAATTTTTTATCATAGTATACAACTGTGGCACCGAAGTGTTTGAAAAAATACTATGATATTGTTCAATCAAGGGGTTACTCACTACTGTATTTATTTATCTTTATTGTTAAAATTCTTTATACATAACATTCTATATCCAAGGCATGAACCCAATACTCAAAGGTGGGCTCCTAACGTACAAATTCTATTATGACATCTGATTTACAGTATTTTAAACAGCGAGTATTTTACTTTACATGATTATTTAATTTTTACATTAATATTTACGTATAAACGAGAAATTTCGAACATTTTTAACTTGATAGATCGTTTTTAAATCAACTGTGAAGAGCTATGTTATTTATACTGCCAATTAAACTAGTTAAATTACAAAAATTAACTTTTTAACTAGTTGACACCCACCTTTGATGAATGTTGAACAAAAGTGTTAGGAAATTATGTTATACCTCCGTTACTGCGTTATCAAACTTTCATAAAACGGTTTTTTAATTAGATTACCGGTAATTTGTTTCGTTTTTATTTTTATTGTTATTATTATTCGTCTCGTCCGCCGCCGTCACCGCCACTGCGTGTGTGAGTAATGGCTAGAAATTAATATGATGGTTTGCCGGAGAAATTACGGCGGCCGCAGCATGTGAAATGGATTAAAGCCGATAAATCAAGATAATGAAATTTTTTCCTACTTACCTCTGGTTCTCGTACGCGCGCGCACATCGCACGGCACACGTGCGGTACAATGTATAAAAACGAAATAAAATATTATTTTTCCTCATTTCGATAGGTCAGTTGAAAAGCACTTGTCATTAGATCCCGTCGTACATTACCACCCATGCAGCTATAAGGCTCGGAGTCTCGCGGGTAACCGGTGACTTTTACAAATCGACTAAATGTACATATATATATAATATGTATATATGCTCGCGCTGTATATAATGACCACCGCGTACGTTCATTAGAATCGAAAAAAAAAAAAAAATATAAAATAAAAAACGTTTCTTCAGAAGCCCTCCGGTTCGCATTCATTATGTACCGCAGTGCACAGCTCGTCGTTATCCGAGGCTTGGTTACGCGGTGGACGGAGAAAGAAAAAACCGCGTTTTCTACAAACACCCGAACGGTTTTTCGTCCGCGCAAGTGCACCTAATACGAATATTGTTACGGTTCTTGTGAAACTATTATCGATATCCTTCCGACCCGCGATACGGTCCGCAACGAATCGTCGACGGTGTCGCTACAGCGTTTCTTATAAATGCGATCGCGAACGATTGCCGACGGGGTGACCTTTTACCGTATGCGCTAATAACGCGCGCGCGCGGAAACATTGACACGTCGCGCGGTGCATTATTTATTCTACACGTTTTAACGTGGACTGCGGACAGTTCTAGATATCAGGCGTGTAATTTCGGATATATTTTTCACAGATTCTTCGCCGGAGGCAACACCATATACGGCTCTGGTTCCAATTTGGCCCCGCACTCGGCCAGCGAAGCCAAGTCGGGTTATCCGTACTTCGGGCAACTGTCTCAAATGGATGCGATGTGCGGCAGGGTGCATTAGCAGCAGCAGCAGCAGCAGCAGCAGAAACAGGTGCGACCTCTGCGGGGCACGTCTACATCGTACTAAGGAAACGCGTATCTTTCTACTCCTCCTCCTCCTCCTCTTCTTCTTCTTGCTGTACTATTTCTCGCGCGTGGTTTCGCGGCAATACTACGGAGAAAAAAAAAAAAAAGAATTACACTCGCTTTCGATTGCGTTAGACATAAATTGTGTACATATATAAGTGTAATAAATGTATTAAACTATTATTATTATTATTATTATTATTATTATTATAATTACGATCATTGTTGCGAATGATTATTAGCGTTTTTTTTTAGGAATATCACCCGAATTTAATTGTACGTAATTGTATTCCGTGCGCACGTTCCAACCGTACCGCGACGAGCGCTCGTGTTGTTGCGCTGGACGTGTTCCGGCGACCTGTTGCACACAGTTTCCGCACGAAACGTGCGCACAGCACGAAACGCGTGTTGTATTCTAATGGAACTGCGGGGAAAAAAAAAATGTACATCATCTACACCCGTATTATTGTAAAATATGATATTATGTGTTATTATTATTGTATTAATAAAACCGTCGATACGTCGTTACATGATAGTGTAATATTTTCGTCAAGCGTTCATTATTGTTCTCGTCCCGTCGTCGAAACGGTTCGTATTGTGCGCGCGGCACTGACCGCTCGCGCACATCGCACGCTATTATACCGGCATTGTACCCACCGGGTACGTATAGTCTTGTGAAACCGAGCGGATATCGTACGGTGTACCCACATAAATACACTCTTGCGGTGCACAATGGACCGTTTGTTGAAAAGGTTTCTGCACGAGCCAAACGTCGCGCGTTGGTACACGTTTTCGAATCCGACGCGAAAAGAAAAATTACCCGTCCGCGGCCGATTTAAACGACGTGCGATCCGGACGGGTCGACAGTGACTGCGGTTCCAACGCGATCGTAACGACACGGCCCGTGTTCGGATCGTTTAATCTTCCGCGTCGGCAAGCTTTTCGTAAAAAAGAGCTATAATAATTTCTACGAAATGAGCCTACGTCACAGATGAGACATTTTGGCTGTCCCACGATATTTTGAGCAAATGAAAAAGTATCTCATTTCTCCCACTCATTTCTGAATCCTCTATTTCCCTGTTCAATTTTACGCTTATGTCTATAGACATCGCGTTCGCAATACTGTTGTGTTTTTATAATACGGTGAAAAGTTTAAAGAAATGAATAATAATTATTTAGGGGTCATTACCCTTATAGATAAAATATCATCGTTAGGTTAGGTTAGAAATATTATCACTTTAATCAAAGGCCAAATAATATCATTTTTCGTATTGCACACTTAAGGATTTTGTCGGAATTAGTGTCGACAATTGACTTACAAGACCTAATTGATACATTCGCTAACCTCAAAAGTCGAACGAAAATTATTTAATATTTGACTATTGTATTAAATTTAAAATAATAAAGAATAATTTAATTAACAATATATTTCTATATGTATTTTGTTTTAAAAAAAAGTTTAAAATGAAACGGCGGCAAATTGCTTAATCCGCCACTGTCTTTTACGGGTCTCGATATTGATAGATTTTCCAAAGAATCATAGATTGCATATTAAGGAGCCGCAGGTTCTCAACCTCTGACGTAGATATTACCGTATTACGTTGTACGGTCGTTGTACCCGAATCTTATCGTGATCCCTCACATCCTGGTAGCGTTCTTGCAGGTTCCGGGAGAGAGACGGCGGTTCTCTCTTCCCAGAGATTGTTTTCGCCTAACTAAAGATGTACGCGTGTGCCTCGGGAAGGTTCACTGACCACTCACAGGGGTAGTCGGACGCGTTCCAGGGCCGTTCCCGGTGAAGTACCTCGTGTACGTTGTGACGTACATTTTCTACGGAATATTATTCTATATCTCTCGTTACGTAACATAAGTGCATTAACGCGATTGAAAACAAAACGACAACGCTTTGTCATGAAGGGAAACCATCCACTGTCTACACGTGCGAATTATATTGTTGTTGCAATACCAACAGCAAAACATTCTCGTTGAAATACACAAACATTTTAATAATAGAAGTATGTAATTACTTTAAATACAACGTTTAAATAATCGTTACTTATAATGTGAAAATTAGGAAAAATTATATTTAATAATATATAAAAATAAAAAATACATGTAATAAAAAATAAATTAAAATTAAAACCTAGTACACGGATAATACGCGTAAATTAATATATAAATAAATAAAAAGTTAATGTAAGTATAAAAACATAAATAAATAAATGCTTAACTTGGAGTATTATAAAATTTGTAAAGTACGAACGATTTCAAATTAAAAATCCGTCGTCAGGTGTGTACAAAGTCGATAAAATCATGACTCTCAGGTTGAGGCCCTCCACACACTGCGATTAAAATGCAACATGCGAGATTAAAGCGATTTGTGCGATTTGAGGTCCACCAACCCGAAACAATATTCAAAGGATCGTAAAATGTCAATCGCATGAATTGTTTCGATACTAGTTTAAAAATTTTCGAGCTAGGTGTTAATGTTATGTGATATTGGTACAAAAGAATACAAAATGAATAAATAAATAAAATTAAGTATTGGGTTCATCCTTATATTGTAAAAAATATCATTATACCGACCTTTGTAGCGGTAACAGGCTTTGTTCATCAAATCCTTCTTGTAACACTCGGGATAATGAGATAATTACATAAAAAAGATGGGTGTTTTTTAACCGAATCAACGGATTTTAAATCGAACGCCGTTGTTGTAAATCAAAATGTCAAATGAAAAAATTCGCGCGATACGATTGCTAGGCGATTATCATTGCCGGTGGTGCACGTGTCGCAATCGCAATCGCGTAGCCAGTAGATCCCCGTATACTTTGCTAAGAAATCGCGCGTAACAAAAATCGAGTCGCGTATAAATCGCATAGTAGCTTAAGCGTTTATCTTTATACGTCTATATATATAAAAATGGAGCCAAAAATGTATAACATTTTATCAATTGAGAACGATTGGGCTGATTGGATTCAAATTTTTTTCAATTGTTCGTAATTGCCAGGAGAAGGTTTTTACGAAAAAAAATTTGGAAAAGTGTTATTGTTTAATAAATCGCAGTTTAATTTAATAATTTTTGACCCGGTCGATAACTGCGCAATTGAAAATAAATTATTAAATGAAACTATTAAAAAACTAACCTAACCCTAACCTATTGCATAAATATTAAACAACAAGATTTCGCAACAGGTGCCAAAACAAACAAGAATGTTAGTTTAAAGGATTATTATGCATATCGGTTGATTATTAGACGCGATCAGGACAACGTTATTCTACGATGTCGTAAGTTTTGTCAGCAATTCATGGTCGACATGTATGTAAAGATAGAGAGCGAACAATTACGATACTTGCGATTCAATCAAAAAAAGATTCTCAAAACTATTGTTAGATATCGGTGATGGGAAAGTTACTACAGATGAAATGGGATGCATACTATTACCAACCGATTTCTGCACAATCATTGATTCGCAAGATGCTCTCATTGACCAGATATTTCCCAATGTACACAGAAAAAACACAAATCATGAGTGGCCGGCAGAAAGAGCAATTTTAGCAACAAAAAATGTGGACGTCAACGAATTGAATCTTAAGATACAACATTTGTTACTAGGAGACTTGGTGTCATACAAATCTATTGATACAGTTTGCGATGCTATTGAAGCTGTAAATTATCCAACAGAGTTTTTAAACTCATTGGATTTATCAGGCAAGCCACCGCATAATTTACAATTGAAGATTGGATCTCCGGTTATTTTGCTTTATAATTTGAACCCATCACGGTTGTGCAACGGCACGCGATTAACTATTAAAAATTAATGAAAAATGTTATCGAAGCCATCGTTTTAAATGGCAAATTCCGTGGCGAAAATATATTATTACCGCGAATCCTTATTATACCTACAGATGTACCAATACAATTTAAACGCCTTCAATTTCCAATTGGATTGGCATTTGCAATGACTATCAATAAGTCTCAAGGCCAAACGATGTCTGTCTGTGGCTAAGATTTGAGCACATCATGTTTTTCACACTGACAATTATACATGGTGTGCTCTTGAACCATCCAGTTTGTTTGTTTTGTCGAAAGATGAGATAACAAAAAATATTGTACACTCTGTTGCATTAAGGGATTGATATTGTTTTTTACTAATATTGTCATAATTAGCGATATATATATAATTTTAAAGGATCAATTTTAATAGATTATTAAAAAAATAAATGTTTGATGTTTTCCCATTTTTATATTCCGTTTACAGCACTCCATACCTTTTCCACTTATCATATATACCATATCCTTACACACTTATATTAAATTAGTTATTTTTTTTCTAGCAAAATATTCTCTAGAAATAATTTATATGACAAAACATTGTGGGTTCATTTAGTTTATTTATATATAAATGTATTTGTGGCTGTCACCAAAATCGTAATCCCTGCGCAACACGACTCGACTGGAAACTGCCGAAACAACTAGCAGGTATATCCATCTTCGGGTAAAAGGTATGTATCGATGAGAAAACCACGTGTATCTACGTACAGGCATTCAAATCGAAACGCGTCCTGTCTCATGGGGACGTATGCACGCGGTACGGTTTTTTTCGGTTTACGTTTCGAACGGGTTGACGTCCGCATTGTCTTAATAACAATAACTAAGTTCGCCCTTTATATAACACATATGTTGTTATAATTCTGTTTGTGCGTTCTCTCGTCGTCGATTTCGTATATTGTTTTCAAAAACGTAATCGATTCCGGCCGTAACGACTCGTCGAAGTCGGTCCACCATCGCCAACACCCTTTGCGCGTGTCCCGGCCATCGTCGAGTGGTAATAATACAAACAACAATATACTGCACATAATATGTGTATGTGCGCGGGCGCGCGAGCAGACCAATACATATGTATATATATTATACGTATTACGTATTGTTGTTGTAAGCGAACGTTCGTTGTCACGTTGATGAATTTATGAGTTTATGGAAAAATGGAAAAAAATAATAATAATAACAAGCGTTCGTGGTGTAAGTAGCCTTTGTTGTGCGTGCGATGTTAATGCGGTCGGTGTGTTAGACAAAAAATACAAAATAAACCACATGCCGCTTTGTATT